CACTACACCTATATCTATAGTTATGAAGGAAAAAAAAAAGAAATAATAATAATAAAAAGGTATAAACCGACCTTAATTTCCCATTTCTCTTACATCGATCCCATTATATGTGTGTATTTAAAAAAATCGTGGACTAATTATAAAACTATAATTCTTTTACTAAGATCAATAAATTAAATGTCATACAAGACACCTCAGTAAATTACATTCAAGTGTTAATTGCACTTGTACACCGTGAACTTACCGATACATAGCAACTTTAACCCTGGACTTTTCTTAACAATTTATTTTATATATATTTCATTGCTAATTAATACAATCCTAATCGCTTATAATATTTTCACACTAATATTTTATTCATAAGTTAAAGAGCAAACATTCTCACAAACTAAAACATAAGGAGCTTATATATATATATATATATAGAAAAGGATCTTATTATTACCTGATGACCTCAATAGCAATATTTAGAACACTGAAATTGAGTGGATCTTCTTTGATCCTTCTTCTCTCAGTTATGCACACAAGGATAATGAATATAGCCAGATAGGAAAGCTGTGAGAATATGTAATTCTCCATATATTTATTTCCCATTTTCTTACTCCTCATAATTTTTGAAGTTATTTCTGGATCACGCACGTGGTCTTCATCGTCTTTTATGGGAAGAAAAGAAGTATAAGGTGGAAGGTACCTGATATAGTACATAACAAAATCCAAGTTGGGGTTAGTTTTCATGCATGGTTTACTAAGATCACACATGGACAATATAAAAGCAACTCTTTTTTCTACAATACTTTTTTCTTTTGGAGTTTCTCAGGTAATCCGTTTGTATCTGGTCAAAATCACATTAAATTAAAAAGTATATAAAATAGTTAGATTCTGATACAGATCTAACGGTTGAAAAATAAAAGACTACTGGTAGTCCGTTTTTCAAAGACTACCAGAACAACGACCGCCAATCACACACTTATGTCCACCACTTTCTCTAAATAAAAGAGAGAGAAAAAATGACAAAAAATGCAATGAAAACCAGAAACTAACTCTTATAAATGATATAAATGATAAATTATTTAACGTCATTTGCATGGGTTTTTAGTTCTATATTAGACTCATTGCTGAGGGAAATTCCACCCAAATATATGCTTGACACTTATTAATTGGGTTGATAAAGAAAGATAGTACAAGACAAAGTCAAAGCAACTCTTTAAAATTTGTCGATTAAATTCGTATTTTGAATTAATTTAACAAGGGGAGAAAATTAAAGTTAATATTAAAGATTTGTATAATTGGACCGATAAACCTAGTACACCTTCCTTAATTTAGTTATTTACTTCCGATTATTTGAGCCAATTGACCTTCTCAAATATTTGATTTAGTTTTATTGTATAATGATTACGCATTTTAAAAGGAGACTTAATTACAAAAGTTGTAAACGAATGATGGAGTATTTTACTTTCAGATTCGACTTTTCTTGTGAATAAAATACGGCACAGTACTAAATTCTTTAACGAATAAAACACTACAATCATCTACCGGAGCTATATGTTATTAAGAAAAATTTTGACCATGTATGCAATAATTCATTTCTTTTTTCTTTTCAAATCCAATAATGCATTTTTTAAGCACACTTCCCTATATGACGGTGCAGTAAAATATTCAAGATCGATATGGAGAATATTCTATACATGAACTTACACAAATGAAACAAGGACTATATATAAAATATATCCGGGAAGTTTCTTGAGGCCCATTTAGTTTGTTGATTTAAGTTTTTAATTCAAGTTGAGATGTGACTTTATGTGATAACTTTTTACTGTAGCAAAAAAATTAAATTTGACTATTTTTGAAAGTTTTTTACTATAACACAACTCGAATAGGTGAAATGAACGAGACTTTGAAAAGTTTAATTTGAAGAAGTAAGCATCACTGTGAGTAAAGTTTACTACCATGGTTGCCAAACCAACGTTGAAGCCAGTAACGTTGTGAGTTTCGGCTTCGATATCGGTTGGAAATCGACATTGTAGGTTTTGATATTGGTTTGGTTTGATTTTGATATCATACTCCAATATATGGTTAGCTAGCATCAAAAGGACAACATTTTTCATGAAAAATCTTTTTTTTTTGGTTACTTTTAACATCATATACTGATTGGTTTATGACGTCAGTCAAATGCATTGACAAACACGCTTTGATCAATTTTTATTAGGTGTGTTTTTTTCACAACTCAAATCATAACTTATACCTTTTTATATGAGAGAAAATATTGTATCAAAAAGTTGTAACAAACAAATTAAAGTGCATCTATTCCAAATTAATGAATCAAAGTTTTTTTTTCTTTTCGTTTTATATGGTTAGCCATGGCGTGGAAAGCCCGACGCTTTTCATGAAAAACCTTTTATTTTTGGTACTTTTAACATCATATGCTAATAGGTTTATGACGTCAGTCAAATGCATTGACAAACATGGTTTGACTAATTTTTATTGGGTGTGTTTTTTTTTTTTTTTAAACAACTCAAATCATAACTCATACCTTTTTTATGTGAGAGAAAATATTGTTGTAAAAAAGTTAAATTTAAATTTTCATGAGACTGTAACAAAAAAGCTAAAGTGCATCTATTCCAAATTAATGAGTTGAAGTTTTTTTTTTTTAACTTTTTTATGCAATTAATAAAAAAGAGAAAACAACTAGCATCACACAATAGCTCCCCACTTGTGTATATAGTGCTTTTGTATAGCATATAGTTCCTAATTACGAACACACATTATACACATCACACAAATTTTTGTTGTTTTTTTTTTAAAGACCATTTTATTTTATTATTGAGACTATTCCCCACCCATATTTTTTTTTTCGTTTGTTTTCGAAATGGTAGTTACATCACACAAATTTTTGTTGTTTTTTTTTAAAAGACCATTTTATTTTATTATTGTGACTATTCCCCACCCATATTTTTTTTTTCGTTTGTTTTCGAAATGGTAGTGGCTTACATCATGACGACGAACAACACCAAGATGGCCGGGGAGATGATCGAAAGGTCGACGATAGTTTCGCCCGTATGTCTTGTGTTAACACATTGGAACAAAGATCCAATTATTTTTTGATAAGAATTTAGTCCACTCAAGGCTTCTGAGCTCCACTCCATTGAGCCGAAAAGTATGAATTGAACCAAAATAAAGCCAAACACACTAGGAACCAAAAGTGAAGAATGCAGGCTAGGAAGCAAGTGAAGATACTTGATTTCCCAAGATTTCATCAAGAGATAATTGGATTCCTCCTTCTTAACATTCAATTTGCCCAAAACCCAGATCGAAAACCGAAGGAACGACGGAAATAGAGTGTTCCCAAGAAGGACTTGAGGGATGAGGATTAGAAGAAGGCCAGAGTTTTTGCTGAAAATCATCATGTTTTCATTAGTGGGAATGAAACCACAACTTGCAAAAGTTGAGACGGTTGTGAAGATTGAGAAGGTTAAGAGTTTAAGGTCTTTGTTGTTTAGTACTTCTCTTGCGCTTGTTATAATGATTAGGTAAAGAAAAACCATTGTGATGCCAAAAATATGTACAATTAAAAGATAACCCAATACTACATAAGCCAAGTATTTTATTGAAGAATACTTGAGATACCATAAATCAAAAGACTCATGATCAATCTTGCCGTTTTGTGGAGGAACTATTACTATAGTGCTTAACTCAGTTTCTTCTAAATTACAACTAGGGTTTGGAGAAGAAAGGACGTCACTATTTACGGAAGCGACTTTACGTTGGGATTTTTTGAGAGTGAATTGTTTGATGAAGAGTCCAAACATGGAAGTGAAGACCTCTCCTCCTGTGAACATCAAAAGGGCTAAGATGAGGAGTTGCGAGTTGGACAAAACCTCCATTTCCACGGTCAACATGCTCGAAACCGTTGCCGCGGAGATGGAGGTGAAGAACAAATCCAAGTTTCTAGGCCTAAAGGAATCGGCCGCACTTCTCGGCTTCAAAGCCAACAGAACAAAAAACCCTAGGGAAGAAATGGACATGAAATAAAAGAGTTGGACAAAAAATGGGTTGAGCTTGCGGCGAAAACATATTGATTTTCTTTGGTGGGCAAGTTTGAGGAATGGAAAACTAGAAAGGTATTGCAACCTATGGAAAAAACAAACAAAATTAGCTCTCATGTTTTAAGTTCCTTGTACTTGAAAATTCCTCTTCTTGTACGGAAATTTGGATGTGGGGTGGATTTATATATAGAGGAAATTAATATTCGTTTAGTTTTAAGTGAATGTCACTTTTATCCTTTTCTACCACCTGGCACTTTTTTCGCCTCTAGCTAACATAGCATAATGGTATGGTCTCAGTGTAATATATTCCATACCATATCCAAACAAATACTTTGTCTTGGAAGGTCGTTTGGTACTCAAAAAACAAGCATGTGTAATTGTCTAATGGGAATCTTACACGTGGCTCTTTTTGGGCTAAATACGTAGATCTATTAATTCAAAGGGGGGGAATGTGTCTGAGTATTGTTCTCGTCGTTATTATAACAACAGTATTTAAGGGCACACGGTAGTGTTCACACCATTAGTGAAAATTTAAGGAGGAGTTTATTGTTGTTATCATTCTCATTTGCATTGTCGTTATGGATCCGCAAGTGAAATTTTTAATTACCTCTGTTAAAAAGTTAAAACGTAATTAATATTAACTTAGTGTATTGGAATATATATATATATTTTTTTTTTCTTTTTTTTTTTTGTTAGACGGTAGGCCATTATTTGGCTAAATAATATTGTTATAATTATTTTTTCTATGAAATGTCACGATTTTGCTTACGTTTGTGCTGTTGGATTTATCTTTACGAGAAAGGCTAGGATTATTTAAAATGTTACTTTCTAATATTCTTTTAAATATATAAAAAAAATAATTTAATTTATGCGTAATTACTATAAATTCTATCGAAATAGATTTTTTTTTTTATAGAAAAATTGTATCCAAGTATTAATTGTGTTTTGTCGTCATCCAGTAAGATTTTGGGAGTTTTATTAATGAAAGATACTTAATTTATGAAAAGCCAGATAGTTACGAAAAAGAATTTATGAAATGCCAGATCGCCTTTTCAGGTTGCATATCTAATACCCATTTGATATAGATTTTGCTTTTGTTTAAATTTCTAATAAGCACTAAAAATGTTATAATAAAGTTTATAATAACTTATTGAAACTCTTATACAAATTTGCATAGTTATACAAATTTCAAAAGCTATGCAGGAGAGCTTTTTGAGAAGCAGCATTTTATGCCTTTGATTGGAAGCACTTTTGGAGAGTTAAATCACTTATAAGAGCATCTAATCATTTACAATAGCAAACTTTTAGAAAACTCTCTAGCAAACAGGCTTACAATATAAATTCTTAAAAATAAAAAATAAAATAAAAAATAAAAAACTAGAACCTTATAACTTGGCTGAAAATTGGTGTTACTATATATGCCGTGTTGGGACTGACACGAGTATAGCACGATACGATAAGTAATTTCTTGACGTTTTCAAAAACATCTTTTTGATATCTTAAAGCTGATTTTTGAGATGTAAAATGACCTTAGTACATTTCATTTAACTAATAAAAAACTAATAGATCTAAGAAAAAATTTCTTTTAAATATTTTAATGTTTTAAAATATTTGAAGATTTTTTTTTAAATATTGGTTACTTTTTAATTGATAAAATGGGTAGTTTAGACATTACATATCTTAAAAATTAATTTCAGAGTATCCAAAAAATATTTCTAAAAACGTTAAAATATTATTTTAATATTATAAAAAAACACATTGTACCGAGTGCATGTTTCTCTCTTATACAAAATAACAAAATGATTTTAACAAGGACATTAAAGTCTTTCCATCAGGAAAAAAACCTAGGCATCATATTCTTTTTGTTGTTGTACAACCCTTGACCATTTCACCTGACAACACACTCAACGACACCATGGCATAAATGGCACATTACTATATATATTAAAAAAGAGACACGGTTTATTGTGTATAGTACAGTGAAATATCAATTTTGCCCCTTGAATTTGAATTGTCGAGTTTGCCTCTTTTTTTTTCCCTTTCTTCCCCACAAATATCAATGCCACAACAATAAATCCAAAAACACCAAACCCAAAAGATTGACCACAACGTAAGACATATTTACTAATTCATATGAATTATCAATAAAAATCAACATTTATTATTTTGAATACATATCTTAACAATCTTTTATCATTTCAGTTCTGAATCATATGCAACAGACCTACCCAGAAAATGCCCAAGAACCAGATAATATAATTACTTCTAAATTCTAAAATATTATATAAATATATTTATATATATATATATATATATGTATATATAAACTAATCTTATACTATAAAAATTCTTAACTTTTTATATAAACAACAATATTTTCTGCAGCCCGAATTTTATTCTCAAGCAATAGATAATAGTGCCATGTTGGAAGCCATAATGCATCAAATATCGAAAGCTTTAAATGGAAAATATTCCCAGCACTGTTATTTGGTCTTTTGATTGATTGATTGATTTATTTATTTGTTAGTTGTTTCCGATGCATATCATATGTATACACAACAATAAGGAATCATCGAGAGAACTTTAGAAATATATATTTTTTGCTTTTTTTAGTAGACATTCGCAAATGAAGAATATATATACTACGGAATTAATAGCCCTTTCAGTGACTGCATTATTGCATAGAAAAATTTATAACTTCAAATAATTGATCATTTAGGATAAGGTCTATGATGTGGGGTTTCTCAATAAAATTTAAAAAAGTCAAATTTCAATAATTACTTTTGTTTATATTAGCTCCAAATCTGGAAGGGTGCTAGCTCACGTTGTTTTCTTGCAAACTTTTGTGTATATGTTTAAAACTCAGAATGCATTAGCGTAATTTGTGGAAATATGCTTCTTAATTAAAGTAAATACAATTGTGCTGCGTACTCTTATGTTTTGTAGACACTACAATGAAATAAAATTATGCTATTTGATATAGCAGAAATAGTAAAAAATAGACCAATATGAAAAGCTTAAGAAAATATATAGGCTAATTTTTAGTATAGAAATTAATAGGCCATAACTTATCAAGTTATGGTTCATAATCAAATAGTTATGGACAAATTTGTCAAGTTATAGTTCATAGTCAGACAAGTTATGGATAAAAACCGTGAATTATGGATAATAACTTGTTAAGTTATGGTTCATAACCAGACAAATTATGAACAAAAATAATAATTTGGCCTATTTATTAACTTATGTAAACTATTGGCCTATTAATTTTAATTCATCTTAAATCTTAGTCTATTTCCCTCTTTCTCCCTTGATATAATATTAATTCTCACTAAAAGTTTTAAATATATGAATGGACGAGTTTAAAAATGACATTATTTATTGCTTTTGATAATTACCGACCAGATTTTAAAAATAGGTCCATATATAAATTATATAAAACTAGAATATATTCTTCAAAAACTACATTGCAAGAAAAAAAGGGATTTAGGGGCAGCTACAAAAATTGACGCGCCGCTGTAAGCTTATCAAAAACTAGCATATATCCTTCAAATTTCAGAACAAATCAATGTCTTTTTCCTTTATAATTTCTATGTACTTAATATGTACTTTACTGTTAGAAAATACGGTAAAAAGTTGCGTAATGGAATTTTAAAATTTTTAATCAAATAATTTAAAGTCGAGTTTTGATCATGATACTATATATCATAAATACTAAATATTTAAATCATATCTCTTGAAGATTAGCAGTAAAACTTCTGACATAACTGCAAGGTCGAGAACAACGGCGGAAGAGCCTCAACCAAAGATACTTTTTTACTATTCTCTTTTTCATGACTAGAGTGCGAGTGAGCATACGTCGTTTAATCTTCTCTTAGTATTCTTCTCTCCTTCCAACTACAAGAGAGTCAAAGAAAAAATCAATCTTGATGATTGATCAATTTTTCCTCTCAAGAAACCCTCACCAATAGCCACTCAAAAGTCTCCCAAGTAATGTAAGGATTAATTGGACTTAATGGGCTATTTATATAGGTAGGAAGGTCTTACTTCCACAATTAAAATTATTTTCAGAATCAAATTCACTATTTTTATTGTAATTAGTAGGTGCCTATGAGGCAACATCTGGTTAACCGGCCCTGCCTGTCCGGCTAATCAGATGACATAACTTTTTTGTGTTTTGAAAAAGTGTATTAAGTCTTTTAGTAAGAGCTATGAATTCTCTATCTATGAATAATAAATTTACGCATACGTGAGTCATATCTCTAATGTACCGGTATGCGTATCTTCGACAATGTCAGGATTTCACCCGCCTTTTGGTACATCAAAGGATACAAGTCACATATACGAGTTTATTATTCATCTCAGGATTAAGATAGATCACATATAATTTGTTAAAAGTGAATTGTTTTATTTAAATAGAATTATTAATTAAAATAATTCAACTTTGGTCTAATATAATATATATTCCACGAACGGAACTATATCAATGTCTCTACCCATGGAGCTCCACTCCAACAGCTATGATAAGCCATCTCCGTTAGGAAGTAGACAACATAACAATCTTAACATGAATAAAGCACCAACTTTATTCCCTCGATTGCAGATCATATAATTTAGACTATCATTTTTAAATTTGTATCTTCTGCATATTCTTCACATTATATCCATGACAAACTTCCAGTTTGCTTATCATACATTCAACTTATATAAACATAAAGAAGACAATGATTGATATATGAAATAAAGAAATAATCCTTTATTAATAATAGTCAAAATTCAAAATAGCATTGTTACATTTATTTTTAAAGGGCATAAATGCGAACATTTATTTCATTGGCAAGAAATATACTCAAATTCAAAATTTTATATTCTCAAAAGGAAAAAAATACAATGAAAAATCTATAGTCAGGGAAATAACAATTTGTAATGATCCCCACCTACACTTGGTATGACATTATCAGTTTTGAACCTGAGCATGCACGATTATATTATTAGGAGGTGGTGTTCTTCCTAATAAACCATCACCTATATCTTTTTCGAGGTGATGTAACTTATCTTATCTTAACCTTTTTGTCTCAAGAGATTGATGTTTGTTATATAATCTGATAGAGATGACATAAGTAATTAAATAAAATAAAAACAAAATTACAAAAAATATTTCTCCAATTACAAAAAATATTTCTGCACTTTGGTGCTTCTAAACATATGATGGATCTAGATCTAATAAGTCATTTCTTAAAACACTACATAGAATTTACCTTAAAAGAACCACTGCATGGAATTTGATATGTAGATAGATTTTGTAAAACAGATATATATATATATATATATATAGGTATATAATTATTATATCTTACGGGGATATATAGATAACCTTTGTGAAACAAATATATTGAAAATTACAATAATATTTTATAGAATATATAAATAGTATCCCCAACTCGCATGATATGTATATAAATAGTATCCCTAACTCGCATGATATGTGTATTTTATCGGAAATCATTACAACGTAGAAGAATACATTAATATTCCGAGACCAATACACTAATAGTATCCCTATCTTGATGTGATCTTACGTGCGATAATTATTTTTTAATCAAAATCGTATTTAAAAAATTACAATAATTGCCGTACAATATTAATGGAAACTGAACGGTACTATAGGGTGCAGTCTTCGAATATGACTCAGTCTCTCACATTATTGTGACACCTAAACTTATTTAACCAGATAAAATAATAGTTGTTTTGAGGAGTTTTTGAAATGATTTATGGTATTTTATATGTGAATCGAAAAACATTTGAAAATAATTTGCTCCAACTTTCATAGAAACGTCTCAAATAATGCATATATAATATTGATCGTAGTACTAGAATACTATATAATATTCAAGGTGATTGAAAATGCTTAATTTTGCGCGTATAAGCCGTGTCCACCCACAATTCATGCATGATCATGTCACATGTTACAGGAATGATTCTCGTAAATAGTTAGAGTTAGCATTCATTTGTACATTTTTTTTATGACTTGAGAATTAATGAGAATTTGACTTCTTCCAGATTTTCTTTTAATTCCTGAATCCATTAAAATGAAGTAATTCAATTTATCGTTTGTCATTTTATCATTTTTCAACAGATAACAAGTAACAATTGACTAAACTCATTCTATCTCGTTCAATTAGCATGGCTCAAGAACTAAAACAGTGATTGCATGAGTGATGAGTTAAGCACTTATTAATTGCTCCTAATTAACCAGAAGTTTTCGTACAGGTTGTGTTAATGGTTATTGCTTATGTTAATAGGCAAGATTTAATTCCTCTCTTATTTTCCTCATAAATTCATTATCTCTCTCTGAAATAATATAAGATACCTGATGTATGATTTTGGTGTAAATGTAACTATAACTTTTACTTTACAATAATTCAAATATTCAAAATGCAACAATTAACTCTAAAACGTTTCAATTAATACTAGAAGCAACCTATGTAACAAATTTCCGATGGTAGGAAAAAAAAATGTTTGGGATATTTATCTCCTTATACTATGTGTTTATGTGTAAAATATACTTTCCGTTTTTTAATTATAAGCAGAAATATACTTTGGAATTACAATTAATACATAAATCTATACCTTTTCTTGTACAAAACTTGAGTTTAACTTGTAAAATGACCAAAAAATTGTATAAATGTCTGGAAATATAGATAGACGTCATATACAAACTTTCTCTAAGCATAATTTGGTCATTTGATAAGTTAAAATATCAAAAAATAGTATAAATTTATATATTAATTGTAATTCGAAGATATACTTTTGATAAGATTAAAAACCGATAATATACTTTCTAAATGAACATAAAACAGACGATATAAAAATATAAATAACGCTTTCTCTAAGCATAATTTGGTCATTTGATAAGTTAAAATATAAAAAATAGTATAAATTTATATATTAATTGTAATTCGAAGTATACTTTTGATAATATTAAAAACCGATGATATACTTTCTAAATGAACATAAAACAGACGATATAAAAATATAAATAACTTAAAAGTATTTATGACAAGAGGGAAAATTAATTGCTCTCGTTCTTTCATTTAACAAGAGCAAATTTAGTATAAGATTACAAATTCACACAACGTGAGGATTTTAGCAAGCGCCATTCATTAAAAGTGGGTCCTAAAGAGAAATACACCTCAAATTAGTGAGGTATGAACTGCCACAAAGTTGAGACCTACCATCATAAGTTGTTCGAAAAGTGGTACACTCTCTTTTCAAAAATCAGAAAATACAGAAAAAATGTTGGAGTGGATATAGTCATTGTCCACCAAACTGACTAAGAAATGACTGTTGCGCACCTGCAAAAGTGAAAAAAAAAGATACAGTTACAACTACCAAATTAACTAAATCCGTTCGAAAGAACAAAGTTGTTCATCCCCAATAAAGATTATACCACACAGGCGTGATCTATAGTTTGTGGATTCTATAGTTTCTTTAATTTGTTGGTGGTGGCAAGGTCAAGATAGTTAGCTAGCTAGGGTTTCAGGCCTGCCAAGCTTAACAATGATCTCAATATGCCTGTAGAAAGAACCTTTTTGAGATACCAAGAAATCATAAATCAATAAGTGCAGTATTTGGAGTCCAAAAACGTCGAGTCTCGTAAAGAATGCCATAAGTAGAGCCATAGTAAAATTGGTGAGAAGAGGAGTAATTGCCGAGGAGGGATCCGCAACATGAGAAGGGTTTGTGTACTATGTCATTATGTTTAGCAATTTCTCATTCAAAACGGTTAACATTCGCATACTAGAAAAAAAATGTGGTCATAAGTAGTTTAGCCTAAAAATGTTGAGGTCTGAAGTTCAAATCCCCCGACGTAAGCTCAAAACGACAAAACACCAACAACAAGCATATATGTTCTCATTCCACTTGGGTACAAAAAGATATGCATATTGAGATAATGTAGAACCGACCTGTTCAAGTAAATTTCTAGAAGGATCGCCCTCAGGGTATAAGGAAGCCCACACTTTTGACCAAATTTCAAAAGCCTCATCCTTCCATACAATAAAGCTAGAAGGATCCAAAACAGTTGGTTGGATGATCTCTTTTCCAGGAAAAACTCCCCATGTCACGGCATTCACATCCACATGACCAATATTAGAAATCCAACTTCCTTCTTTGTTAACGGCCATTAGGGTTATTGATGGGAAAGCCCTAGATTTCTCAACAAGAGAATCCAACTTTTCCCTGGAGCAGAAAAACTCTAAGTATGCCTTCTGATAGACATATCCTCCTGGCCCACCCCAACCTGAAAAAACATGTTTTAAGAGATCAGAAATCACAATCTAAATATATAGATATGTATTAACAAAGCTAATTAATTAAATCAATAGTTTTGTGAAGAATCCATTCAAATATTGAGCAGACTGAAAAACAAGAACAATTTATAGTTTAAAAGAAATTTTCTTATTTGGTTAATTGGGCTAGATTAAGATCCGAGCAAAAAGTGTATATGGTGCACTTATAAAACCACTAAGGATCAATATTATGTTTTGCTCCTTCATTTTGATATGATAATCATGAGAAGCAAAATCCTTCTTTATATAATAATCCAATATTATATATGTCATGGTCAGAATCAAAGATAGGTTATTCTCAATATAGGGCTCTACGGCCTTATTATATGTCCAACAATTACTGTAATAATTCTTGCAAAGTCCTAATAGAAACACTCAATTGAGTTCAAAACATTGTCACTATGATTAAAAAAATAAAATTAAATAAAATTGCTACTTTTAATGAAGAGAAGATAATTGATATTAAGGCCAACCTGACTAGGTTGTCACTTATTAGATGGCTTTTTTTTTCCCTTTATCAAAAACCTCTCCTATATATATGGGTGCAAATATTCTTAGATTTGTCATGAGAACAGATTCAGAAACAAAACTCTTTGATCATTAACTATTTAATACTTACCAACAGTTTGGCAGTCAGATCTTTCCCCATTTACTGCCGGTTGGCTATTTATGGTAAGGAAACCCTTCATGTTAATTTTCATTAGTTGTTCACTGATAATTCTACTCTCCGGCTGAAGACCATCAAATTCTGACCAAGGACTACTTCTTAACTTCCCAACACAGAATTCCTTAAATTTCTGGACAAAATTAACAAATTTCATTATATAGTATTGGGAATATATATATATATATATATATATATAATATTTGAATACAATTTTACAATGAGAAGCCAACACCAGAATACAAATATGATGCACAACCAAAATGATCATTAATTATCACATACCTCATGAATATCTTCGGAACTTCTCAAGGGAACACCCCATTCTTCTAGAAGTCTCTTCCCACGTGCACGTGACTGCATGACCTGCATGTACTTGTAGAAATTAATACAAAAATTATAATATATAGGAATTCTACAATACTAATTAAAACATTATGGTCAGTTTTCTCAGTTTAAACTTTCCTTAAAATAGAAGATATTTGATGTTTAATTATGGTTACACTTATAAACAGTCATTTTCCCGAATTTAAGAAATAAACTTGGGTTATTCACTAAAAAAATCTTAATTAAAAATGGTCATTTACTTTTTTTTTTTTTTAAAAGGCTTAAACCTCTATAATTAATCACGTGATTTGGGAGAAAAAAAGAAAACGACAAAAGATTATGGAACACCTCATAATCAGTTATTGCTCCATATGAAGGATTAAGAGAATCGCCCCATCGCCCATTAGGATACTGGTCCCAGTCTGTAGTCCTTGATAAATAACTCTTTGGCCGATTGGCCCTACAATATATATTTATTCAGTAAAAACATCATATACATACACACACACACACGCACACGCACACACACATATATACATATATATATATATATATATATATGTTGGAAGACTTGTTATATTGTTACTCATTAGTCATAACTAATTACTTATATTAGCAAATGCCTTAATAACTCTTTAAGAACATACACTTATCTAATACACTTTATTGGTCTTCGAAATTAACTAAACAACTGATCAGTATATACAAAATATAGTTTTTATATGTTTATAGATCAAAACTGAAAGCATAGCCAAACAAGCTCTGATTATTTTTATTTTTTCTACGAATTGATAAGTTAAAATAAATCGTGTACCAGAATATTGGCCGAACATCTTCTTTAACTCGGAAAACGTTTGTCGGACGTCTCCAAGGCAAGGACCTTGATATTTTGGCCTCTTCAATCAAACCAAGATTCTGAAATAATTGTTACTATATATTAGCATGGTTTATAAATTTTAGACAACTATATGTGTGTCTGTGGTGTGTGTGTGTGTATATATATGTATGTATGTATATACACAACTCAAGCCAAATGAATAGTGGGGTTTTTGAAATATTACGGATAGTATAGCTAATGCTGACTTCTCCAAGTTCAAAGTATAAAAATGCAATGTTCTAATCCCATGGGCCAAAATCTTCTTGCACATTTCTGTTCCAAGGTAAATTCCATAGGATTTAACAGCTTCTTCATTGTCCTTGATAGGCTCCAACGCAGCAGCAATCTCAGCAGGAACCTAAAATATTTATGTATTCATTTAAAAAAAAAAATGAATCATTGTGTTGAAAACGTTGACACTGTAATTTAATCAAACACAGAACCGGTAAAGAAATCCAAATGTTGCATATTATCAATAGAAAGCACCATCATAATGTAGATTGAAGGTTTAGCAAACATTTTCACTTCTTTTAATCAAATTAATTGTTTTCCTCAATTCTGTCCTTATATACTCTGGGATAATATTATGTCGAACTAGGAAACTATATTTTTGCACAAGTCATCCATATGTATCAAAACGCTTTGTACATTTCATAACAACTTCCATCTTAAAAGGTCAACATGTTAAGTAAAGTGGCTCAATATGTTTATAAGTTGTTGTTCATTTATATATTTATACGATGTAAAACTCGGGTTTATTTTACCTTTTACAACTTCCATCCAGTGATAATTTAAAAACAAAGTATCTAAGAGTTTTGGAGATAGGAAGACAGTGTTGTAAAGAAAAATGAATATAAAATGAGTCTAACCAGTTATATTCCTCACTTCTAACCACTAGATCCATATTTGCATGCTTCCAATAAAATAAAGGGTTTTTTTTTTTTTACAACGTAAATTTTAAACCATGAGGATCACGTATTGGAATCAGCGCTATATATATATATATATATATATATATATACCTTTGTATAATTTGCAAAAGGTTAAAATTGAGGATATTTGCATACCTTTGTTTTACAAAAGCCAGTCATACGCAAAAAGCCTTTATAGTTATTGATAGGCATAATTCCTGGAACAATGGGACAAGTAATTCCAACTTGGCGGCAGTCATTGACGAATTTGAGGAAAATATCCGTGTCGTAGAATAATTGTGTAATGATCAAGTCAGCCCCAGCATCAACCTGGTTTTTTTTTTTTTAAGTCATCAATATCACAATAAAGAAAGAAATTGATAAAGAAGAGATGAAACCATGCAACAATAACTATATATAAAAAAATTTATAAATTTTGATTGCATATTATCATAATATATATCTTTGTAGTTTATTTATTCTCACAAAAACTACTCAATATTTTGTGAGAATCACTAAATTAATTTAGTATCGGAGCAGTAGGCCAGTGCTAATTTCAAGCTCCTATAATTCAACTCTCAAAAGTTTGAGCCTCGTTTGCTGCGTTGGTTTGAACTATGACTCATATTTTTGTTGTAGTATTTACTCATAAAAATTGAAATTCAATTTTTTTTTTGCTGCTATGGTTTTTTCTATCAAATGAATCCACGTTTAATTTAAGTTCTTAACGTAAACGAGCAAAGTAAATGGGGCTAATTATATTCACATATTGGCTTTCCAATTAAAATTTACTCGTACACATTTGGTCATTATCTGACCCACATGTAGGAGGGGTGTTAGAACATAAAATCAAGGGATATTTATATTTTTATACCCTATGTTTTAGGTTTATTTAAAAACTATACTTTCAATTTTTAATCTCATCAAATTTATATCTTGAAATTAGATTTACGACCCAAATTTATACCATTTCACAGTCAACCCTTGATTTTAAGCATAAAATACCTAAAGTACCCTTAAATAAAAAAGAAAAAAGAAAAAAAAAACTAAAGAAAAACTTTAAACTTACCGTTTTCACCTTAAAAATATTCAAAATATCATTGAAATGGGGTTTCTTTCGTGTTTTTAATTTTTATTTTTTATAATACTGGAAAGTTTTATTATATTCTCCCTTTTTTTTAAGAATAGTTTGGTCATTTTAAAGGTCAAAATCAATTATTGACTGAGATAAGAGATAGATTTGTATATTAAATCTAATTTGAAGGTATACATTTGATGATATTAAAAACTGAAAGTATAGATTTTGAATAAATTTAAAATATATAGGTATAAAAATGTTAATATCCCTAAAACTAATTTTTAATGCCGGTCCACCTCCTAATATATATATATATAGCTTAAGATTTCTAAGGAATTTGGTAAATTAACATTCTTAGATAAATTGGAGAGAAGTTATAATTAGTGGTAGGCTCCGATGAATATCTATGTCCTTAGTCAAAATTTATGACAAAGAAAAAAATTAAATAGCCAGACATTAGAAAAGAATCAAACCGAACATCTTACTATCTCACAAAAAGTACTGATAACTATAGCATTAGGAGTTTCTCAAGAAGCTTTTTTGTCATCTTAATTAATTTACGTTTTCTTAATTTTTCCATTCTTTATCTTCTATATAGCAATAATTAAGGTACAGCTTTATCTGGGGGTGTGTGTGTGTGTCAATTCTACATAAGTAGGATTTTGAATATAATATAGCAAGTGATCAAGAAACTATGGAAGACGTAATTTCTGCACAGAAAAACAATTGAGATATATATATATCTATCTATATATATATAGAAGGGCACTTAAAGAATTATAAATTTATAAGACCTTTCTCTTCAAATAAGCCAGATCCTTATGATAGCCTTCAAGTGTAGGGACCCCACAGCTTCCTATCATATCCGGATGTGCCTCTGAACATAATTAATTAGGTTAAATTATATAAGAATAAAAAATATTGGTATTATGTATAATCAGGTGGACCTGAAATATAAGGGAAAACGACCAATATGTAATGGTAATTAAGAAAATAACAAACCTGGATAACCAGCAACAGTAATGCCAAAGTAGTCTCCATACTTGGCCCTTATATGTTTCACCTACAATAAAGAGGAAACAAATAAAGCACATGATTGCTAGTTAAATATTGGTGTATGAAAATTTAACGGCAATCATGCATGGTCATTTTAAGTAATTAGACATGTACCGTATTAGGGGCAGAGCAAGAAAAAATAAGTAAACACAGCAAAACATATGGTTCAAATGTTAAGGGATGACGCACATATATAATTTCAAATTTTAAGGGGAACAAATTTCAAATTTTAACAAAATATAAGCATTACGGTGAAAAAATATATAAGTATCGTTCATTTTATCTATTGGAGTTTTTAGTTTTAAGTTTTTATATTTAAAAACTCTCAGAAAATATCATATTTAACTTTTTAACTACAGTTAAAAATTCTCAGAAAATTACACATCTCAATTTGAATTAAAAACTCGAATCGACGAAACGAACGAGACTATAGTTTTACAAAATGAATTAGGTAGTGGTGATAATACCAGGCGCTTATAATATGATATAGTACGTACCAGGTCTAGGGCACAGGCAAATCCGCCTTGCACTTGGACGAACTTGTCCTGGCCGCGAGGCGGGTCTCCGCGGAGGGCAAGGACGTTCCGGATTCCCTTAGACTTGATGGTGTCCAAGGCGTGGTCGATCTTCTCAAGGGGCATGTTCGTGCAGGTCAGGTGCATCATGGTGTCAACGCACACCATGTTCTCCATCTTCGCCGCGATGTCTAGGGTGAGCTCCGCGGTCGAGCCCCCGGCGCCCCACGTGATGTCGCAGAATGCCGGGTTGTAGGCTGCCATCCGCTCCATCTTCTCGAAGAGCCCGTCGACACCATCCTCCGTCCTCGGTGGAAAGAATTCGAACGAGAAAACAACCTTCTTCTCGTTCAATAGCGCCTCTTGTATCTTCTCTATCACCTTCATTGTTATTATTTCTTTGTTTTTCACTTTCTCTGTGGATTTGTTCCTAAACGAGTTAAGGGAAAAGGGTTTGTTTTTGTTTGGGAGATGGGAAATTGGGGAAGGATCAAGACAGAGTGAACGAGAAAGGTGTGTAGTGGGAGTGGGAGTAGGAGTAGGAATAGTAATGGCTCTCCGCTTTTCAAGTTTTATGGAAGAAGGAATAATTATGGTCAATGATACAAATAGCTGAAATTTTCTCTTTATTTTTATTTTATTTTAAGGAAGTTTATTTAACGAATTTCCTGATTGATAATTCTTGTTTTTTTTTTTTTTTCCTTTTATAACACATCATTTTGGTGTCATTAATTTTCAAAATTATTTTATTCAATAAAATTCTAATATTTTTTTTGACAAAAAATAACATGTTATGCTTCAAAAAATAGAGATTTTTGGGACTTTTCTACATATCATGGGAAATGATTTTTTGAGACCAATCCCACCTCAAAACACGTAGGGGTTGTTCTTTTAGAGTGTAACTTGAGTGTAGTTTTTGAATTGAATTTGAGTTATAACTTTAGTTGAAGTTGTAACTTAAATAAAGTTGAGTAAAGTTGAATAAAGTTGAAACTTAAAAAAATATGAACTTGAATAAAATTAAAACTCGAGTTGTCTTTTTTTAAGTTTTTTGGACAAAAGAACAACCCCGTAGTCTTCTTAGAAATCAAGTCCATTATTAGTGCAAGAAAAAAATATTTCAAAAAATTATATCGAAGAAAAATTAAAGTTATATTAGAGTTTTGACAAAAAAAAATAACTTAAGTGGAGAGAGATTTAAAAAAAATTATTTTAATTAAAAGGTGACAAAAAAAGTATTTTAAAAAAGATATTGTAAAAAAATAAACTGTGAAATAATATTAGAGGGAAAAAAAATAATAGACCAAAGAAAAGAAGAAAAAGATTTAAAAAAAGAAAAAGAGGAAATGATAAAAATAAAATGTATTGGAGTTTTAAGAAAAGTGGACAGAATTAATAAAAAATAAAAACAAAAACAAAGCATGAAGAATAAATGAGAAGATGACACATGACAAAAGGAGAAGCAACTTCTTTTAACTCTTTTACGTATATTTAGATCATATCGACAAAAATTACATGGTTTGTCATTGTTTTTCTCAGTTCTAACATGTGTGCCATTAAAATATTTTAGTACAACTTATTATTTTTCTTTCCATTTCTTCGTCTCCTTCGGGCTCTCTCTCGTCTATCTCTCTCTCGCCCTCTCTCTGTCATATTCACTGTAAGGGAAACAGCGAACGCCGTTGCGGTGAAGAACTCGGAGCTATTCAAGGTCAAGCTAGTCGGAGTTTTTTGCCGGTGGTGGAGATTCGCCGGTGCAACAATGGAGAACGTGCTCAAGGAGTAGTTGAAAAGAGATAAGGATGGACTCTAAAAAGACATGGTCAAGCCTTTCTCCCGCACCGACACGTCCGAGTTGCCGAGCTTCAACGTCGAGTTGTGGAAGGTCTGTTGCGCCACATTAGGGATGCCGAGCTTCGACAACAGAAACTGCGATGAACGGCCCGACAACTGTGGCGATAAATTATTCATTTATTATTAATCGATAAATTAATAAATTATTCATTTATTTATACATAAATAACCTTATTAAAAGAACATTTTTTCTTAGTCCGAACAATATTATTTTATAGAGGTTTTACTATATCCTACTAGAATTTTTTTTTTTTTTTGTCACGGAGCAGGAGAAAATATTTTCTTGTAGAAAATGATAAATGTCCTATTAGGAAAAAAAAATCTGGTATAACATAAAAGATATCCTTATATAATATTTTTTGACATCGTCTTCCAATAACGAGACCCACTACTAGAATATTTTTTAGTGGCATAAATATTAAATTTAGAATTGATGTATAAAAATAAAATAGTGTTATCTTTTTTATGACATTCTTGAAAATTCCCTTATTATATATATACATGTTTTGCGGACCTAAAACAAATTATCGACATATTTCTTTTGTCATTTAACAACAAAAGAGTAAAGGATTGTGGCTAATGGTGTTAATTATAGATTAAATTTTGAGAATTAAGTGCCCAAATTTTTAGAAAAGAGTAACATTACCTATAAATTAAGGCCTCATTAGTTTCGCTCATTTGAGTTGAAAATTTAAGTTAAAAATGAATTTGAGAGAAAATACTGACATAGCATAAAAAAATTTAGATTTTTATGGAAAAAAATACTATAATAAAAACTTAATTGTGATTCTGCAAAACGCACAGAGCCTAGAATTAGAGGATGTAAATGTTTAAATTTTTTAATTGGGGACCTATGAGCTAAATCTTACAAAGCTTTGGGACGTAAATATGTATAACTCAAAATATCTTTTTATTTTTTATTTTTTATTATTCATTGCTAGAATCAGATAATGTGATAAAAGTCATAAAACCCAAAGTTTTGCCTCCATTTCCACACTTCTTCTCAACTCAGCAGCAGACCCAACTCAAAGTCTCAAAGAAAATGGCTGCAATCTCATCTCTTTCTTCACCACCCAATCTCTCAGTAAAACCCACTCTCAAAATCCAACCAAAACTCTCCTCCGTCCAAATCCCAATCCTCGGATTTCACAAAAAACTAACCTTTTCGCATGAAATTCAGTCTCTGTCACTGTCTCCGAGTATACCATCCCACAGACTCTTCGCCGTGGCAGAAGAAACGGCCTCCGTCAACACGTCTTCCGAGGCCGCGAGGAGACTCTATGTCGGCAACATTCCTCGGACTGTCACCAACAACGAACTCGCCAAGATTGTCGGAGAGTATGGCGCTGTTGAGAAAGCCGAGGTACTTTTTTCTTTTTGAATTGTCTCACTTTTGGGTTTTTTGGTGTTTTTTTTTTTTTTTTTGAATGTTCGGTTGGTGAAGATTTGGGGGAAGAGTGGGAGAACTGAGAAGTATTTTGGTGTTGTTATGTTATGCTCTTTTTTTTTTTTTTTTTGGTCTCAAGAATTTGAATTCCTCACGAGAACCCAAAATGCTGGTTGTGAATTTCGCAAGACAAAATCTTTTAGCTTGCAATGGATAGGATTCTCCGTCAAGGGATAATCACAAATCTTGCTTTGAGTTAAATCTTGTATTTTTAGGAAGTGCAAAAGTGTAGCTTTAGATTTTCAATTCCTTTAAGATCTATTCCTTAGGATACTTTTTGACTGACTTAACACCATAAACTTAAATCTTTATCTTCACAGTTATCCCTAAACAGATTTGAACATCATCCTAAAAGTACAAGGTGGAACATTTCATTGGCAGGAACTTTGTGAGAACCATTCACGGGAATTTTTCTGATTCAATTTTTTTGTGAGAGGAAAACACTGTAGTAGAATTAGAATTATGTGTTTATATACATTTATCAAACAGGGGCTGCATTTTGTAATTTCCCGAGTTTCAAGTAGTGTAATTTTCCGATGGTTTATCGAATTTGATTTATGCAGGTGTAGGAGCTTGTGCAAAAAGTTTACGGAAATTAGTTATATTCGAGTCTTATAGTTTTGACATGTATCTACTTGAATGAGTGTCTGTTTGCAAAATCCAAGAGAAATTTCCTTTGACCTTTTTCCTTCTTGTGAGTGAAATGAAACTCTTTTTTTTTTTTGGTTTTGTTGTAGGTGATGTATGATAAGTATTCTGGTAGGAGCCGTCGCTTTGCATTTGTCACAATGAAGACTGTTGAGGACGCAAATGCAGCAATTGAGAAGCTGAATGGAACTGTAAGCTCAACTTATCTACTAGTTTAGAGTGATGGCATTGTGATATTTTGAAACTTTTAATCGTTCATTTGATTGTTAAGGTGTATTCAGTATCTGCTTTCTGATTGCAGGAGATTGGAGGACGAGAGATCAAAGTAAACGTAACGGAGAAACCCCTGTCGGGAGTGGATTTGTCACTTCAGGCAGAGGAATCCCAATTTGTTGATAGTCCCCATAAGGTTTATGTTGGAAATCTAGCAAAGAATGTAACTACAGAAACTCTCAAGAACTTTTTTTCCGAGAAGGGAAATGTTCTTGGTGCGAAGGTCTCGCGGGTTCCAGGGACCTCGAAATCCACTGGATTTGGGTTTGTTAGTTTCTCGTCGGAGGAGAATGTGGAAGCCGCTATCTCATCTTTCAACAATTCTGTAAGTTGCTTTCTATTGTTCTGTGTTATGGTGGAAATTGGGATGTCTTACTGTGCACCAATATTACATTTTCTCAGTGTCTAGTTTCTGTTTGTTTTCTTAGGGAAGTTCTAATAAGTTCATAACTATTCAGTTGCTATGGAGTATAGGACGAGTAACGTAGACTCCTGTCGAAAAATAGATAACAAATTAAGGACCAATGTGGTACTGTATTATTTTTGGAGGCCCCAAAAGTCTTTTGCACATAACATAATGCAATGCTCGGTAAAAGTGCATAAAAAAATTTCACACATACATCAATGCTCTTTTGCAGTTAATTTGGAAGGTTTGATTTTTTAACTTTTGACTTCTGCTTCTACCTCCGCTTTTGCCGGAAGTAAAAGCCCGCTTTTGCCGGAAGTAAAAGCATAATTACTTTTAAAAGGACAGCAATGCCAAACTAAGTCTAAGCCACATGGTTAACTGTTGAGCATAAGATGAGCAACCCCTTTACTGTTGTTGTAGAAAAGGAATAGAGAATCAGGTTACACATCTGTTTTAGCTGGTTATGTTTTATGTCAGTGTTTTAAGATTCAGAGATAGTTGCATATTGTGTTTTCGAACATTTACAAGACGGCGTTTCTATACTCCAATACCTGCATAATGTTCTTCCGAAATAACATATTTATAAATGGAATGTATGCTCATAGAAATCAATATTTTTTGCCACCTTTTATGATCTTATTGTTATGGAAATTAAAGGTCCAAAAAAATTTGCTGCTTCTTCATAGCCAGCTTCTTTAGCAACTAGTTTTCCTTGTTTTATTTAGTCTGTTTGTTGTTTCATTTAACCTATTTGTATAATCTTTCCTTGTTTATTACAGTTATTGGAAGGACAACGAATTCGCGTAAACAAGGCCTAGTGTTATCTAGCAGAGCTGTGGACTTTTGCAGAGAGTTTTACTTGTATTTATTGTATCCGAGATTAGGCGTGGTTTCTTCAGATGACATAAAAATTATGCTAAATAGCGATCCATTTCTGGATGATGATATTAACACTAGTAGTTCTGTTACTTGATCGAGATTATGCCTTTGTTCTTGGCGGAAACTTAGTTGGGTAACTTTTATGTTCGGTAATGCATATTTCTGAACGTAAGATCATATCAACATTAAAAGTGAAAACATTTTACGGCTTCCATGCACTTTGATAAAAATCTGACAGTCCAGAACTTGGATATATTTTTCTACTTAAAATTCAGCAGCATACTTTTGCAGCGCACCAGAATGTGTAATCAAATCTGTGTTAAAGGCTCAGGTATGAAAAATTGGTGCCTCTGATTATCCCAGTCCTCAAATGACAAATACTTATGGACTATTGCTAGATGGTAAAGCTTTGATCTTGCACTTTCGGAAGGAATGACCCACTTTTTTTGCGTAATTGACATGTTTTCTTTTTTCAATGGAAAAAATTAATTTAATTTAATTTAATTTAATTTTTTTTGTTTGTTCTAAATTTTTTTTTTTTTTAAGTTGCGTCTCTTGAGACTCGACTTTTGTTCAAAGTAACTCACACACCCACTAAGCACCGATTGAGTTAAAAAAAAAAAAATCCAAACAAGGATTTACTTGGCAATTGCTAATTTTAGTTTATTTTGTTATTAATTGAATATATTAAGGGGTGTTTACTTTGCATCAAAGTGAAACAGAAGATGATTAGTGACTATTTTTTCATATAGAAATGTGTTTACTTATAAATTTTAATTTCTTGATATTAATTCCCTGTAATTCACTGATATTAATTCCCTAGAATTTAATGGGCCTACAAAAAGAATGAAAAAAATGAATTTTAATCACGCATCCCCTTAGTATTAATTCTCTATTAAAAGAAATGAAAGTCATATTTACTTATCTACCCTTATTTAGTTAGTGTATGGTTAATATTATTTGACCTTTTAGTTTTTTTTAATAAGTAAAAAGATATTTTAGTTATTAGAGTGATAGTATTGCTTTTCTTAACTCTAGTAAATACTCCAAAGTAAGTGGGATTGTTTCTCATATACTATTTAATAGTCAAATTTATGCTTATTATTTTATTTTACTTTCCAAAATCAACTTTTTCCATTACATTCTTTTATCATTTGTGCCCTAAGAATACTGGCTTTCAAACAAAGCAGAAAAAAAAAAAAAAAAAATGAAAGAACCATGCTCATATCCGTGTAAATCTCTAAAAAAAATTAGGAGAAACAGCTTAAAAATAAAACGGAAATTTATCAAATTTTTAGCTTTTTCAGAGAATAATTTTCTGAAAAATTCGACTTTAATATCTTAAAAACAGAAATTCAAGATTTCTTTTCTGAAATCTCGTTAAAAAAAAAAAAAAAAAAAAAAACTATAAAGTCATGTCGAATGGCAGTGGTTGTAAAACTCCCAAAACAAGAAGGGTATAACAGTAAAAGAAAAAACAAATGTACGACACGAAGCCCCTCAGTCTCCGGAAGTGGCCACGTCATCAACGATTGGCGCCACTTTTCGTTTCCCGCGCCATTTCAACTTCGGTTTCCCCTTTCTTCCCCAATTCGCCTCTCTCACTGTTAACCCTAAAATAAAAATCCCTAATTTATCTCTTTCTCTCTCTATATCTATTTATCTATATACCCATCCACACACACAGAATCTCCATTGTTGTAAACTTGTTTTCAATCACCGGAAACTACTGTTACAGTACAGTACAGTACATCTGTCTCACACTTTCTCTCTCTAGATTGAAGAAGATGTTTTACTCGCAGACGTTTCTGGCTCGGAAAGGGCCGCTGGGGACCGTTTGGTGCGCGGCGCATATGCAGAGCCGACTCAAGAAGTCTCACTACACTTCCACCGACATTCCCGCCACCGTCGGTCAGTCTTTTTTCTTTTTCTTTCAAAATTTCCAATTTTTTTTTTTAATTTGGTCGGTATAATGTCGCTTTAATCTTGATTTATTTGTAATGAATCAAAGGAAAAAGTTTTCAGCTTGATTTGACTCGTAATCTTTTTTTCTTTTTCGAATTGTGATGAATGTTTCGTTCTGAAATTTATTGTTGAGTTTTTCGTTTTGTTGCTATTATTTGTATTGATTTCTGTAATTTCAAACTGGGAATTTTAGTTTCGACTTTTCGTGAACCAAATAAAAGAAAAAGGCTTTAGCTTGAATTTTTGAGTGTTTGGGTATAATGGGCACCTACTATTTCGTTTCTATTTTTTGTAAAAGTCGAGATTTTTTTATTTTATTTTTTGTTTTGATTTCAATTCAGTATTGGGTGGAACAATACATGAATATTTCTTGTTTTAGTATTTAGAGATTGATTCTCTGATAAATGTTTAGTTTTGTATTTAATTGGAGCAATTTTCGTTTTGTTACTGGATAAAAAATCTTTGACTCATTTTTTACTTTTTATTCTCCATTTCAGTTTCTAATTAGCTCTTAAAAGAAAAAAAAAATCTTGTGTCCAAATCAAGGTGCTTTAAATACAGAAACGATTTCTAATCAGTTCGTGGGATTATTTTTGATTGCTGACACGTTCTTTAATGATTATAGATTAAGTGACCATTTTATTAGTTTTGGTCTTCTTTCTTAAACAATTATGATTATCCTAGGTTAGCCTGTGATTTGATCATTTTAAATTTAAAAATAGTTATTAATAATTCTCAAACAAACATGTCTTGTGATGACTTATAGAGCGCATAATGTTTCCGGAGGTACCTCTTGCACTGAGAATGACGAGTCACCTTCTGTTGGGTGTCGTCCGAATATACTCGAAGAAAGTCGACATCCTCTACGATGATTGCAACGCCGTTTTGACTCGCTTGAGGAAGGCCTTTGCATCTGTGGACCTTAATTTGCCAGAGGATGCGAGGCAGGCACCCGTTCAAGCCATCACTTTGCCGGATACATTTGACCTTGATGCTATGGAGTTGGATGATGACTTGAATCTTGACGGGTATGAATTTTTGTAAGCCCTCTAAAAAAAATCTTTTGAGCTGCTTTGTGTTCTTCACGACGACAATGTTTTTTCTTTGTTTAGGGGCAACGACCATCATCACCGGAGTCAGGAAGACATTACATTAATGGGTATCTAAGTGCTTTTCTGTTACTGTCTCCATTGTTCTTTTTCTCTTCGTTCATAATTTTCAATTGTGGATTCAGCGACTTATTTATAACTTTATCCAACAGATCAAATTCCAATTGGAACAGAGCCTTATGTTTCCATAACTTTTGATGAGGTATTTTATATTCATCTGCTTATGTTTGTATTTAGATTTAACACTACTTGAGTGCGTTGATACTAACAAAAAGCTTGGTTCCTTTTAGGATATCCTGATGGATAGTTTATACCCAACAGAGGCTCCTGATTCATCTGGAGCAGCTATGGATCAGAAGTATGAAATTTTTTTCGGTCTTCTTTTCCCCATTAATATTTCTGATTCTTTGTTCGAGGAAACCACATTTTTTTACTTTGCTTCTATGTTTACAGTGATGCCCGTCCAGCTGCAGTGAACAGCAGTGAGGGTGTACCTAGTCCAAGCAATCAGATTGGTGAAGAGAATATAAAACATACTGATGAAACCGTGCTTCCTGATTTTGTTGGACACGAAGCTCCAGATGTTGTTGTACAAGATACTGGTCTAAGTAATCAGGCGGAAATGCACGAGTTGAGGCATAGTACTGATAATTCACCTGAAGATATTCTAGAAGTTGAAGTCATGCGTGATGCTGCCCCTGATAGTTTGGGAAACCCTCCACTTTCTCCGAGTCGTAGTAATGACATTGCTGAGCCACCAGCATCTTTAGACCAACTAATGAATGAGAAAGAAACTCTTTCTCCAATTATTGAAACTAATTTAAATTCTGGAGGAGAGACTCCGTTGTTTCAACCAAGTTCCGGACCTCAAGCATCTGTTGGTTCTTTGCGAGAGGGTCTACTGAATGATAATGTACCTGTTTCGTTCGGTAAGTGCGTTATTTTTCACCTTCGGCATGAAAGTGTGCATGCATTGTTGGGGTCGTTTGCACCTATTTGTTTTGCATCTTAAAAGTTTTTTTATTTTTTATTTTTTTTATATGTTGCAGCCATTCGATCAACACCTCAGGTTGAGAAACCAAAACCAAAACCCAGAAAGAGAAAACAATGTTTTGATGCAGCCCCAGTGTTGACTAATAAGTATGGTTGGTTATATGATCAAGTTACGATAATGATCATTGTGCTATGGTTACTTATACGAAGTCATGATATATGTAGGTTCATGAAGAAGGCACTTGAAGATCCTAGTGATTTGAAGCGCAAAAAGAGGAAGATTCCCTACTCTACATTGGGCATATGGAAATTGGAGAAGAATTTAAGAAAGGAAAAAGGTTTTTCTGAGCCTTTATTTACTGGTGAGTTGTATTTGCATCACCTTTTCCCTTTACTGCTTTTCTTTCGTTACATTCCTCTAATTAAATGAGAGGGACTTTGGGTGTCCTTCGGCAGGGATGTGCTCGGATCTTCGTAGTATCTTTGACAAGGATTATATGTCAACAAAACTCCAGTCTTTGAAGGAAGCTTCCTCCGGTTCTGGTGGTGCGAGGTCTCCTGCTCTGGAAACTGAAGCTTTCCCAGAGGCTGTAGTTTCACAATCTCCATTTCCTGCTGCTTCAATCGAAGCTTCACCGCAGCATAGGGGGGAACAAATTCAGACCCCTACACATGATTATGCTCAAGAAATCGAACGTCTCATGGACGTAAGCCATGATGAGCTGAGTAACTTGCATGATATTATTCCTTCGCCTAGGGCGACACCTTCACTTGGGGCGCATGACATCAGTCCTTCCACAACCCAAATTTTGGGGTCAACGCCAGTCACAATGGCGGAAACTACTCTTGGAACAAGAGAGTCTACAGGAACAGGAATGTTTCCGATGCCAGATTTTCTTACTTCAGCCAGACTTGGTGAGTCTGATCTTGAGAAACCTGCATTTTTTTATGAGCGTAACGGTCAGGAAAACGCACGTCTCTCAGGTGTTCCTGAGCTGGATTCCGCAGCAGAAGCGGAAGTAAGTTTTGATGTCTCTCCAATTTTTCAGTTCAGTTTCACTTATGTAATATGTATGTTCTACATTAATGTTTTTCTTTCTATTATTAGTGCCTATTCTAGTCGGTTCAAGGGCTTTCTTCTTTTTATGTGGAAGATATGTCGCATGTGAATTGTCTTGAGTTAAGCAAAAAAAAAAAAAATGTTAGGGCTCCACACCCTCGCCATAAAGCAAGTTGTTTAGACTAAAAAGCATGTGTAATTCCTCGAGGTTCTTTGTGCGTGGGTAGGGTTATGATTATGGATTCATAAAGAAGAAAGACTTACTATGAATACTTGTTTCCGAGTTCTCTTCCTAAATGATGTTTTGTAGTTGTTTAGCACTCTTATGATTCTATGGAGAATTTGATGGATAAACGCTGGTGGAGTTAACAATGAGTAAAGTTGCTGTTTGGATAAGCAGAATTTAACCCGCTGTATTGTTGTTTCTTTGTAGGAACTCTTTTTCCTGGAAGCAGACAACAGTACACCATCAGGTAACTGAGTAATCTTTTCATTTATTCTATGTTTTGAATTAAATCTATTTAATATGAGATCGTGCTCTTATCGTTTGCTCGGAGAATAAGATTTATTTGGACGCGGGTATTCTTTCACTCTGCTTTCTTACTTCCACGAACAAGTGACATTATCTCTTGTTATGTGGCAGGATCTCAAGGAACCCCCGGAGTTGGTTCCTTGTCTGTCAGAACCAGGTTCTACTTCTTTTCAAAACTTTTTTCACCAATTCATGGATAATTTTATGACCAGTAAAATGTATCGTAGTCTGCTTACTGAGGCATTCTTCTGATATATGGTTTTCAGGGCTGTGGCTCAGTATTTAAAAAGACAGTCTTCTATCACCCCGATTACGGAGAATGCATCTGAAGATCTCAGTTTGAACAAGCTTTTAAAAGGAAAGACAAGAACGCTATGCGCTCGAATGTTCTTTGGAACACTGGTGATTATCGAGACTTCTTGTTTACTTTGTATAACCTATATTAGCCGCTTTGATCATAAACTAGTAAATCCAGATTTTGGGTGAAAAGTGGATCTTGTTTAATCGGTTCACAGTTTATATACCTATACATCTTGGTGAAAAAAAAAAAAAAAAAAAGAAAAAGAAAATAGAACTTTGTGAAGGTGCAAGACTTTTACGGCTGTTGTAACAAGCGTCTCAAGTACTTCTATTAAAAAAAAAAAAAAAAAACTCAACCATTTCTTTGCATCTAATGAATATGATTATTACTAATTGCTATTAGGTTTTGAAGAGTAATGGTCTTGTTGATGTGGTAGAAGAAGAGCCTTATGGTGATATCACCTTGAAGCTGACTCCAGCACTGTTGAAGGCTCAAATCTAGGATAAATGTTAATTTATGTGCAGGTACGATTCTTATTTGTACTACTTTACTGAGTATTGTTTTGTTTACAAATTTCATCATTTACAAAGTTGCGGAATTTGACGATTAGGGAAAACTTTGCTGGGCTATTTTTGTTAGATGCTTCTAAGTTTCCCAACCTCAATTCTTTCCCAATTGTAGCACCACCCGATAGCCGTATGTGATTTGGAAAATCTGAAGCAGAATCTGAAGTTCATTAAAATGCCGAGTCGCTGACGAAATTGTGAATGCTTACACGTTGTTTTCTCTTCAATTGCTTCAACTAGTTTGTGCGTCTGCATTGGCTCTGCACGTGTTAGCGAAGTACTAATTAAATTCTTATCAGGTGATTACCAAAGACTAATATAAGTTTTCTTTGCATGACAGTTAGCGAGACGAAAGAAGGGAACAAGGAGAGCAGTATCAACTGTTTGTACAGAAATCGGGACGCGAAAAGCGAAATTTTGACTTCGTTAGAAATATTTAGTGGTTCATGTGTAATTATTAACTTTTTTTTTTTTTTTTTTTTTTTTTTTTTTTTTTTTTTTTTGCCAACAGGGTTTTAAAAAAAAAATTTTTT